GCGCTCCCTCCCCCGCCCCGCCCCGCGCCGCCATCACGGGAAGGGCGGGAAAGGGGCGGGCAGCCGCGGCCGCCATCTTGAGGAGGGGACGGTCCCGCGCGGGCAGGGCCATAAAGGCGTTTCTGCCGCAGGCGGGGTCTGCGAAGGGCTGTATAGCAGCGGGTCCTGCTGCTAGCCCTGAGCCCCAGAGGTGCAGCTGGAGGAGGGAGGGCTGGGCTTTCTTCCTCTCAGAGTCTCCCCYCTCGCTCTTAGCACCAAGGTTGCCAACCTGAAATAAAGCCTTGCAGGGCAGCTGAGAGGAAAAGACAAACCTGCTGCCACCAGAGCATGGTGAGAGGCGCCTGGAGGCAGAGGAGGATCTCTGTGACATGGCTACAGCACTGGTGATCTGCAGCGCTCCCCTTGTGGGGCCAGGGCTCCTTACTCTGCGGCAGCCCAAATGCAGGCACTGAACCTGACCGTGAGGCCGGGGCGCTGGGCAGTTTGCTTGCTTGCAGCCCAGGGTCTCCACAGAGTTACTCTCTGTGTCTGCTTGGAACACACTGAGCACTCGAAGGAGACAGGAGCAATGTTTTGTACTAAGGTTTCTGAAAGGACCAGCAGTCCCTATCCAGCCTAGGGTAGACTAGAATACACCTGAACTACTTTTAATTGTGCAGATCTGCCACTTGACAGTACATGGCAGCTTCCAGATGAGGATCCTGCAGGGAGGACCTGTGCTGAGCGACCAGCTGAGGACCCAGTGCTCCATGGTGCATATCGCACATAACCACTAGGCTGAACAGCCCTGTCACAACCTGCTGGGTTTCAGTGCTATGGCTCTCAGTGCGCATCAGACAGTGCACCTGTGATGTATCATAAAATCATTGAATGCTTAAGGTTGGAAGGGACCTCCAGAGGTCATCTAGTCCAACCCCCTGCACATGCAGGGTCACCTAGAGCACAGGGCTGCATCCAAGCGGGGTTTGCAGATCTCCAGAGAAGGAGACTGCACGACCTCTCTGGGCAGCCTGTGCCAGGGCTCTGTCACCCTCACTGTTAAGAAATGTTTCCTTAAGTTCCTGTGGAACTTCCGATGCATCAGTTTGAAGCCATTTCCTCTAGTCCTGTCGCTGCCCACCACTGAAAAGAGGCCGCCCCCTCCTCCTCACTGCCTCCCTTGAGGTATCTATAGACACTGATCAGGTCCCCCCTCAGCCTGCTCTTCTCCAGGCTGAACAGACCCAGCTCCCTCAGCCTTTGCTCACAGGGCACATGTTCCAGGCCCCTGATCATCCTCGTAGCCCTGTGCTGGACTCTCTCCCGCAGCTCCACATCCCTCTTGTCCTGGGCAGCCCAGAACTGGACACAGTCTCCAGATGTGGCCTCACCAGGGCTGTGTAGAGGGGGATGATCACTTCCCTCGACCTGCTGGAGACRCTCTTCTTAATGCACCCTAGGATCCCGTTGGCCTTCTTGTCCACCAGGGCACCCTGCTGCCTCATGGTCATCTTGTCATCCACCACGATGCCCAGTCCCTCTCTGTGGGGCTGCTCTCCAGCAGGTCCACCCCTAATCTGTACTGGTGTCCAGGGTTATTCCTCCCTAAGTGCAGGATCCTGCCCTTGCCCTTGTTGAATTTCATGAGATTTCTCACCACCCAGTTGTCCAGTCTGTCCAGGTCCCTCTGGATGGCAGCACAGCCCTCAGGGCTATCAGCTGTTCCTCCCAGTTTGGTATCATCAGYAAACTTGGTGAGGGAGCACTCCAGCCCTTCATCCAGGTTGTTAATGAATAAGCTGAACAGGACTGGAAAAGTTTGCCATCTTTGAGTACAGTGTTTCCTCCCCAAAGGCTCCCACTCAAGCATGTTCTTTTTTTTTTTTTTTTCATAAGTTCATAAGCCTGAGGGCTCAGATGAGATGAATTAGCAGTTCCTAAGGGCTTTTACATCTGTATRTTCATGAATAAGAAACTTTTGCTTGAATGGCCATGGTGGGCAAAAGCATCTCAGGGGGATAAGGAGCCTGCTCGGAGGTCCCCAGCTGGGATACATGCGATTCCCCAGGCCCTGCCCACAGCATGCTGTGCGGTGCCTATAGATTACATTCAGTATGCAGGGAGGCAATGCTATTAAGCCTTGCTTTGCCAGGCTCATGATTATTTGCTTCTTGAATGGCTCGCCCCAAGTGTGCTAGGTGTACACTTTGCTGCTTGCCCCAGAGAGCTGCAAACTGTGTCCTTGACAAGGCAGTAGCAGCGTGGAAGTCAACGTAGGAGGCTTGTCCCGGGCTCTACTAGCTAGTCCTTCCTCCTTTCCTCTTCAGGGGTTCTGACGCTGCCAACAGTCCTTTCAATGTCTGTACTCTCTGTGGCCAGAAGGGGAATAGATACCCAAATTCTTATGCTTTAAAGGTAAGTACCACTTTTTGTTCAAACCAAATCCAGCATCCTCACCACTCCAAATATTTAGTGCTAAATATCTCCTTGCAGACACTCCGACTTGCTTTCCATCCTCTGCTCCAGAGGGACAACTCTCCATTCTCGCTCTCGTGTGTATCTAATTCYGTGCTTCACGGTATCACAGAGAGTCACGGACTGTTTCTAGGCAGGGTGCTGGTGTGGGCTGATCTGATGAATCACACTGGAAAAGATAAAACCATGGGGAATATAATAGTGTGTGAACATCTCTGCCTGGCCAGCAATTGAATTCAGATGAGGTTTTATGCTGTACTTACCATTCCATGATGTCAATGATTGCCCACACTATGTAAGCTACCTCTTAATGTCAGCAGTAAAGGCCATTGAGACAGATAGCTGGAACTGATTTTACCTGAGCCCAGGAAAATGATGCACAGCACTGTTGGGGGGATTTGAGCTCAGAATGGCTTCAGGCAGGTTTTCCTCATCATGGCTGATTATCACCTATGGCCGGGGCATACAGCTGCACAGCAGTGGGAATGACTTTTGGCTTTGGTAGAGGCAAAGCTGAAGACACAAATGCACCAAAAGGAGAATGAGGAAATAAATCCTAAGAATATATCCCGGGCCTGCTTATTTGATCAGCTGGTTCTCTTGGCACTGAGCTGCTGAAGTGAACTCCAATGGCAAATGATGTACACAGCATCCAAAGTGCCTGTGGCCAAAGGAGGGCACTTTCATCCCATGTATATGCTGACAGACTGGTGACAATAATTTCCCTTGGCAGTGGAAGAGACATCCAGGTAAATGCCAACACTGACTGCTTACAGATAGTAACATTCAGGGCTTAAGAATATCTACTTGTGGATCTACTAGTAGATCTACTCTGTTGACATAGATTTGGTGACCCTTTGGTGTAGAGGAAGGTAAGATCTGGAAGAAGAGGCCAGCCAGAAAATGAGCTGCTGAATCAGAATGCTCTGAACAGCCTGAGCCTCACACCACACTGCAGGGCACAACYGAACAGTCTGTGCTGAGATGAAATGTATTGCAAGTGGCTTCTTCCAAGTTGCAGGTGCGTCACCAGACCAACTTCCTTCATTTATCTATCCCGCTTTCGTACTTGTCTCTTTGGATGTTTTGCCTTTATTCCTCACTTTGCAATGAAATCTGTCATGTGCCACCAGTAATTGCAAACTTTTTCCCCCTACTGACCTGGTAATAGGCTGAGAGAATCTCAAGCTGAAGTTTCAAATTCATTTTTTCCTTTAGCAAACATGCTTTTTTTTTTTTTTTTCTTCAGGGCTAGTTATTTTTAACCTGCCTCAATTCCCAAATTAGACTTGCTGCCTGGCTGCATGATAGCTGTACCAACACACTTGGAAAGAGCAGGGAAGCGTGTGCTATAGCTGTGAAAGCAGAGCGGTGGCCAGAGGAGGAAAGGCTTAGGCTAGCACTGCTGCTAAGAGAAACGCTCGTGAAAGCAAAGCCTTGGCTGCTACATTCTCAAGTGCATTCCCAAAGAAGCCTAAAAAAAAGCCCTAATGCAGCCAGCAGTCAGGGATAGTTTACATCCATGAGTTGGAAACACATTGCCAGTGCTGGGAATTAGCCATTTCCTGATTTAATCTCAATTTACCTGACCTAAACAATTTAGAAGGAGGTGGTGATTATGAACTCTGCCGCTTGAGGTCACTCCTTTCTCTCAATAAGTGGCACAGAAGCAAAGAATAGATTTAAAAGCATAAACAAGGTGGCTCAAAGTGCTGCTAAGGGACCAGGGCGCAGAAAGAACCACCAGCAAAGYTGCAGGAAACAGAGGTGTCAGATCTTCAGCCTGTGGTGTCATCTTCCTGGCTTGGAGTCCAGATGGGATGAGTGGATCTGTAACGGTCGTGACRAAATCCTTCCATCCATTCCAACCAAGCATTCTATGGTTTGCTGGGGCTGATGAAATCCTGACGCTGAAATAAGAAACTCTGGAGGAAAATGCAACTCCTCTTTACYGTTGCAGTACTCTTGAAGTAAGAACCTTGTGAATTAACCTTAGAAAATGCTGCTGGAATCTCCCATGGCCTCAGTGCACAAGGTGGGTGCAAGATGCACCTCATATGGGAAGACTCACTCTCATGGGMGGAGGAAATCCCTAGCGCTTCTGAACAGCCCGGTGTCCTCTACAYTGAGCCTCACCTCAATGTCCTGGAGAGCCTGGCTCTGCGCTGGCTCCCGGAGCAGGCGGATTGCCGGGGAACAGGCAAGTTATCACCTGGGTGCTTCTACAGACAGTAGGACTGGAAAACCAGGTCATCCAGCATCTCCAAAACCCAGCATAAAGCCAAAGCTTCCCCAGGTTTCTATAGCGATGGGAGCGAAGACAGATTTCTTGTTCAGACCTACCCATTCCCTGTGTTTGGCTGCTGCAGACGTCTCCTGCAAAGCCTGTTTGTAGCGCAGGAACAGCCCTGGGCTTCTGCTCAGAGCATGCAGTGCGCTGCACAGTTAATTAAAGCTACATCTCTGACAACAGATTATCACCTTCACTCTGCAGTGCGCAACTGCAGGAACAGGGAGCCCGGGCAGCAGCACGCGAGGGAAATGGAGTAGTGCTGGAAACAGCACCCAGATTTTGAACCACATTTTTCTCCTCATTCATGCAGTTTCTGCAGTGCCTGCTGCTCGGCTCGTTCCTTCTTTCACCCAGCTACTGGGCTTTTCCCACTGAGAGTCACGCTTTTCTGGKCAGTGGTGGGTGCTCATTCCCCATTTCCAGTAATGCATCAAACACAGGGTTCCCTTGGTACCTGTGGGATAGGAAAAAGCCTTTCTCCGAACAGTTCTTGTCTGGGTGCAGTTCATTTAAAGAAGGATTTGAATTTAACTAAAGCAGCCACAGGCAAACTTTGAGGATGTGATTTTCATACAAAGCAATAACTCCCTCCCTCCAATACAAAGAGTCGCAGCCTTTTTGGGGGAAAGAAACAGCTAGTATGAAASATTTAAATATGGGAAAGGTCAGCAGGCTCTAGGGAGGCATCATAGATTCAGGCAGCATCCGACAGTGGCATCTCCTGCTGCTAAAGCCCCGAGTGCTCTGCTGCTGCAGAGCCACCCTGCTCTGCTCTGCAGGGCTGACTCACTCTGCAGTGCTCCAGCGCGGGCGCAATCTGCCACGCTAGAGACAACTATTTATGTGCCAGCAGCCACCACCTCTACTGAATCAGGCACTCCAGAGCCTGTCCTTTCATGGTCTGGCACTGCCTGTTCTCTTCCAAATCAGCTATCAAATCACCTGTGCCTACCTTGTGGTCATAAATTCTCTCCTAGCAGTGTTTGCAGGGAGTGTCTTTCCCACTCCCTGGCAAGGACTGCATTCTGCTAGCAAGCTGCTGGCAGGAAATGAAAAAAGGCACCGAAAGCTCCTAATTTTCCTAATTCCCTGGCTCACTTGAGAAATCTGCTGACAAAGCAGCATTGACAAAGGACGTGGAGTGCGAGTTTTCACCTGGGAAACAGAACCAAGGATGTAGAGCGTGACCACCAGAGCAAACGTACGGCCAGGGCAACACGCTCGGACTGTTAATTCTGCTCTTACCTCTTTGCTGGCACTCACTGCCGAGCAGCCCTCTCCTGTGCACGTCTGCCCCGGCTTTTCTTTGATGCTCTGTTCCGCTGCCTCGCACGGGCTTATGTAAGACTGAGACAGGCTCGGCCTTCGAAGGCACAAAGCTGAGCGCTTGGTGGGGGGACTTCGCCTGCCTCTCGTTATGTAAATGTCTGTCACGAACTTGAGCCTGGTTACTGCCACCTTTCTGCAGGATGCCACCAAGCCACAACATGACCTTAGAGATACCTGCCTTTAAAATGCCTTTTTTTCCCTCCCTTCTGGAGAGTTACCACCAGCATTGACTTGCTCTCCCAAATGCCAYTTACTCACATTCCTCTAAATCGGCCAAAGGCAAGGCTGACAAAACACTCCCCCTGAGGAATGTAAAGACAGATCCTACGGACACTCTCATAACCCCAGCCAGGCCTCTTCCAATCCCACTTCATGGTCCAGATCCTCTCTCCTGCCCACAGCCTCAGAACAGTGTYACAGGTAAAAGAGCTGGGGAGCCTAATTCACAGCGTTAAATACACTTTAGCTGTTGGGACTCTACTACTTTTGCTCGAAGGACATCAAAATGATTTAAGGGAGCAGTCTCTAGAGAAACTTCCCTCTGACGCTTCACAGACGTTTTCCATGTATCACTGTATGCCTCTCCACCCAGAGCACAACCCTCACCGCTGCCCAGTGTTCTGAAGTCATTCTAAGACACAGACCTGCAGGGTACCCTCTACAAAGCCAAGCAGTCTGTTGAATGAATTCAGACACATCAGGCTTTAGAAAACAGGGTGAAGCAACCCACAAAATTGCACTTTTATGGAAGTTATGATGAAAAGCCATGCTAGAACTTGCTCCTATAACCATCCCCTGACTGATCCCCGCTCTGGAGACCAGCTCCCTGGGAGCTTCTGCCACATTGGTGCTCTGCCTTGGGCCACACTTCTTTGCAACACAGATATTCAACCCCCTTCCTGTAGAGGTATTTACATTAAGGGGATTGATACAACGCATCTACTTGCCACTGCCATCCCCATGCTCTCCACAAGGCTGACAGGAGAGGGGTTGTGACAGATCCCGAGAGATGCCCTAGCTTAACGTGATCAGCAGGACACCACACATAGCAGCAGTCCGGGTATGATGCACAAGGCCCAGCCTGAACAAGAAGTGCTTTGCTTGTTCTCCGAATCACACCATGAAGGTGATATACATGGTAAGAACCTGGAATGCCCTCCCCTTATGACTAGCTTAGTTGCCAGATGAGTTCTTGAACTAATTAATCTTCAGATAAGAGACAGTTATTGAGGTACCTCAGTGGTAACCTGTGCTAGCACCAACACTTCTGAAGGAGGTAGGGTTTTCGGCACTGCCTAAAGGGTCTCTGACAGCTGCTGCTYCCAGTCAGTCACACACCAAGGCCACATCCCTGTCCCTGAGCTCAGGCCTGCACGGAGCACCCTTGCTCCATGGAAGCGGCATGTGACACGGGAGAGGCATGTTGTCAGAYCGCACCGGAGCGGCGGCAGCACCTGCAGCCATGGGGCCTGTTCCTCCTAGGCAGCAGCCCGGAGCAGCCTTGTTCTTTGCCCAGGAGAAAGGTCACATGAGCCACAACCTGGACTCTTCCACCCCATTACTTCAAGAATCTGCCTCTCCTTAAGAGAACTTTTCCCCTTCCTGCCCAAAATTAAGCCACAGGAGTCTGTTACAGTAATGTAGTGAGGAAGTTTTATTTGGAAATGTTGTATAACTTTGTAACCCAACACTGGGTGCGCACGACTTTGATGCCAGAGCATACGCTTTTACTACTGGAAACACAAGAGTGTTTCTGACAATTGCTGTAATATAACACAAACAATTCTCATACTCCAATACCAGGACACTACAGCAATCTTTAGAATCAAAATTACATCCAAGGAATTCTCTGCACTTACAATTGACCCCACAGTGTAATAATCTACCTATATATAAGATTAATATATATAGCATGGGAAATTGAAAATCCTTGCTCCATAGGTGTATGAACATGTCAAGTCTTTTATAAATAAACATCCAGTGAAGAGAAAAAAATTACACGTCTAGTTCATATTTATACATAAAGTACTAACAGCAAATGGGTGGAAAATTGCACACAGGCCACCCCAAGCCACAGAGCAGGCTTGGAGCAGCCCATCCAATTTAATATTGAAGTACACACATGACAGACAAGTCACTAACATATATTGCGCATTTACAAGAGATCAACTACCAAATTGGGACAACTGTACACATTGGAAAGACCATTTTCATTCGGGAGCTTTTTTTTTTTAATGTGGATTTCTTATATCTCTTTACATCATACTGTGACATTTACTTTGTAGAGAGGATAAGGGCAACAATGAGGCCATAGAGACCCAAAACTTCAGCGAAGATCAAGATCAGGATCATGCCCACAAATAATCGGGGCTGCTGTGCTGTTCCCCGTACACCTGCATCGCCCACGATGCCAATGGCAAAGCCGGCAGCCAGGCCACTGAGGCCCACGCTCAAGCCAGCACCCAGCTGAAGAAAGCTCCTGTAGGACAGAGACGAGAGAAGTTTCAGTGGCAAGCAGCAAACCCAGCCCTTCAACTGCATGCTAAGTGGTTCTTTGCTCTCCCAAAGAGAATTTAAGAATTAACAGCATTTAAAGGGAGCCTTCTGTACTCTTAAGCAAGCAGAGGAGCTCCAAGTCCTGCAGCCAGACCTCTAGGGAAGCACATGCTTCAAGAACCAGGAGCTCTGCAAGACCTGGATCAGCTGATGTTCAATTACACCATGTGAACAGCACTTGGTCACTGGACCTACAAGTCTGCACAGCCCTTGGGGCTGCCTGCAGCTGCTTTGGTTGGCACCAGGCTCAGTATCCTACTGGAGCCGCAGACACTCCAGCCCCAGCGGACATTCCAGCCATGCAGGCCATCCACAGCAGTGCCTTTCCCACTCTGCTGGGTAGCCTGTCAATCAGCTACTTCTTTCCTACCTTTAGCAACCTTATGGTATCATAGCACATCTGGATAATTAAGTCTGTCACACTGCAACGCAGGAAAGTTGCACATGAACCAGACACACTCATGTCAATACTGAGTGGCCTGTTCCTCCAGACTGTGGCGCCCAAGGAGCAGTTCCTATTGCTATTGGACTATCTGGTAACCAAGAAATGATATCTGGACCTGCTGTTTCCCAGATCAAGGMCAAATCTGACTAGGCCAAACATCAGGCTCATGAGTCGCAGCTTGCACCACGACACAGGTTGACATCTGATGCAGGCATGATGCTGACATCATAGAGACCTCGTGTTATCTTGACAAGGCTCAAGCCTGTTTCAGCTACTCTAAAAGCCAAGGGTAGATTAAGTTTCAGGCTGTAGCAAGTATAGAAGCACCRTGTATAGTTTGAGGATTGGCTTACAAGCACATAAAGTGAACAGTATTAATTATTGACATGCAACTCCCAGGCAACAGCAGAGCCACTTAGTCTAGGCCTGTATATTCCAGGTCTAGAACCTGGCTCGATGAGACAACCTTTGCTTCTTATCCTAGGATAACTAGGGTAAGTTCAGAATCTCTGAACATTGTTTCTTGCAAATTATAACTTTTGCACCATCTCCAGCAACACTGTGTCCAGCTCGTGAACTGCTACTAAATGGGGGGCATGAGGCAGGACAGCTGAAATCCAGTGCCCGCCCTGCAGCTCTGCTTAGCCTCTACACCGCATTTTAGCGCTGCTAGTGGTGACTTGCCACACCTCCCCATCCCACCCTTAGGGGCCACAAAACAGTGATTCACCAAGCACGGATGGACCCAAGGGGGACAGCACCAACTTACTTGAATAGCGTGATGGAAGGCGAGAGCGCGTTGGCAATGAGGACTGCCACTACCAGGCCATAGATGGCTATAATACCCGCCATGACGACAGGGATGATTGACTTCATGATCAGCTCAGGCCTCATGACGGACATGGCTGCGATACCTGTGCCACTCTTTGCTGTTCCATAAGCAGCTCCCAAGGCTGGAAGAGGGAAAAAAAGCAACATTAAGCTTGTCCCCAAACACCATCTCTTCCCTTAGATCACAGGGCTAGAAGTGCTGAGTCAACCCTGGGAAGTCATGCAAGTCTAACATGGTCATTTGACTCCTCGATTCATCTGCCAGGAATATTCCCTAAAGGATGGATGTGACTTACCCAGTTTCAATCCAGAGCTCTCCTGCTCTCTGTGATAAAACACTTTCTCCAACCTAGTTAGCTTCATGGCAGGGAATCCACTCCCTAGAGACCAGGGTTTAGTGCCTAAACTCAACCTTGCTATTTCAGATTTCGTGTCCCCTGAAAGCCCTCCCAGGAGCTGCTCAGCCAAACTGTGGCAGAAACACAGCAGGAAAATATGTCTGGTTACTGCAGCAGGACATAACATGAACAAAAAAACTATGTTTCTTATAGTCATTGAGCTTTAAGCTACTTAAGCACAAGCACACTCAAGAACTCAACCCAAGAATTTGTTTTCCATGTGTCCTTCAAGGCTTCTTTCATTACAAAGCCTATGTGGCCCAAGGCTTGGGCTGAGGTGAAAGACTTTCAGCAGTATCAAACATCCTAGACAGCCATGAACATGCAGAATACTGCTGCACTTCTTTCCTTGCTGAAAGGATCATTTAACCAATATCCACTTGTAAAGKATTTCAGTCCAATCACCTGATCCATCATCCAGCTCCTGGAACCAGAGTTAAGGGCAGAGCTTGTAGGTCAGAGGAATGGAACCACCTTGCTCCTGAGCTTCACTGAAGTACATGATCCAGCTGCATCACCTGAGCACACCAAGATCAAGCCATGAACCCAAAGCCTGCTTTGCAAACCAGAACAAAGGCTTGTTACCTCCAAGGAAGGGTCTGCTGGAGCTGAGACCTACAGTCCTACCCACAAGTACCTTCTGCCCTAAAAACTTGCATTAATCTCACAAAAGCTTCAACAAATGCTTCATGCTTTGATTGTGAGATGCTTGGGAAGAACCCCTGTCCTTTGAAATTCATCCTGGAATAAGTAAGAGCCCTGGAACAGAACATTCCCCAGCCATCTGGGCTGAAATGTGTGACTGCACTCATCAGCACGGAAGAGGTACATGGGTTATGGCTAGCATAGCCAGCTGTTGGGAAGAGGAAGCTCCTCCTCAGACACCTTCAGGTTGGTATTCAAAGACATCAGTCCTGTTTAACTAGCACAAAGCTGCTCTAAAAGGGAAGTCATGTCACTGTTCGGATTTGTTATTCAAGTGTGTTCAGCCCATCTCTGAAAGGGAGCTCTGCCTGTTCCACACTGGGGATTTACTTATTCCTCTTACGCTAGTATCCAAGTGGGGAGCAGYGCAGCTTTTGCAGAAAAGTTGCTGCAAGGTACTCATGGGGGTTCCCAACATACGGTTTCCCACTTCCCATTCAACATCTACATAAGAGCCTACCCTCAAGCCATCAGCAACTGGGTAGTGCTCCTGGTGGTTTTGCACTCTCTTCAGAAGATTAATCAAGTTCACAGTACCAACACAAAGATCACCATCAAAAGGAGGTTTAGTTTTAGTTGTAGAGACTCAATCACCTACAGATCGCTCCTGTATTAACACAGCTCTTCAGCCCCCTGCAGACCAGTTCTGCTCTGGTCAAAGTCCCAGTCACCACCGAGACAGACTCACTTCTAAACCACACTGAGCAACTCCTTACATCTGTTAGAGTCTAGTTTACTAGGAAGTCAGAACCAGGAGCAGGAAACAGATTTGGAGATTTAAGCTATAAGCCTGGAGACCAATGCACAGCCTCAACCCAGCAAAACCAGTGGCAATAGGAAAGTGCCTTTCCCTTGGGAGGCSTAAGGAGACAGAAGTTACCCTGTATTCTCCTTGAACTTGAAGCTTTCTCCTCTGGCTGAAGCATCTTTCAGAGACACAAACAATGTGGATTCAAGAGTCAGATGACCCTACAGACTGGCCACAACATTTCACACAAGCTATTTCTTTCTGTTCAGAATCTTTCKCAATCCTCTGCAGGAAAGCAGATGCTTTGAGGGAGGGGAAGTTCACTGTTGAACCCTAGCGCAGTCAGTAGTTCCTCCAAGCCTGAAGTCAAACATGTTGCAATTAATACGGGGATGACTTACAGAAGCTGATTTCGTAACAGCACTTACGGAAAGCCAGCCTGCTTCTGGAGAGAGGAAGATCAGAACAGGTTTGTGACTTTGCAGTTGATCTGCTCTAAGGCACAGCAAACGTTCGCATCCGAGGGTGAGCTATCCAAACGTCTCATCTCTGGCTCTGAGAAAGCTAATTGCCACAGCTTTAGGTAGCCCTACTGCTACTGCATTACCAGGGTAAGTGGAAGCTAAAGGTCCTAGAAGAACAAGCCCTAGTGGGGCCTGACACCTCTGTCCCCCAAGGGAGTCTTGCAGCAGCCTCCTGATGYGCAGCTCACACTGGAGGCTCCTGCRCATCTCCTCCAGGGCAGCCAGCTCTGCTGCGCTTCACTAAACCGAGAAGTGCACCCTGCACACTGAGACCAGATCTTTCTCCTAGCAGGACATCACCATCCAGTGTCACAGCTCTTCAGCTGCAGGTCACCTCACACTCAAATCATTGTCATGTACCTCTTGACAGCTGTGAATGTCTGAAGCAGAGCTTCACATATATTCTATATTTATTCTATTATTTGGGACACTTTTCAGTTAGGAGATAAGGATTAGCACCTTGGTTAAGTCTCAGTGGTGGCCAGTGACAGGAGAAGGGGAAACGGGTATAAGTTGWAATACAGGAAGTTCCATCTGCAGGTGAGGAGGAACTTCTTCACTGTGGAATTGARAGMGCCCTGGAACAGGCTGCCCAAGGAGGTTGTGGARTCTACTTCTCTGGAGGTCTTAAACTTTCCTGGATGCCACCCTGTGCCACATGCTCTAGGTGTCCCTRTGYGAGCAGGAAGGTTGGACTAGACRATCTCCAGAGGTCCCTTCCAAYCTCGAACATTCTGTGATTCTGTAAATAGGGTTTGAATAGCTGTACAGTGAAGACTGAAAGGAGGAACAAGAGGTGCATTTACTGTTGTCCACGAGGACTGCAGCCGCTCAACAGTGCTTACATTATCAATAGCCTTCAAGTCAAAGTAGTACTCATACATTGCCATTTCCTAACGGCTCAACTGTGGCAAAGCAGCCCGCTGTGCCTAGTCTAGCGGCCAGTCAGGTCCAGAGCCTGCCCCACACACAGCAGCCATCCATGCACAGCCAGTGCCTACCAGGCAGAAACCCACATCACCGTGGTAGGCAACAGCAGCAGGGACGAAGCAAAGATTCCAGAACACTAACAAGCAGCACTTCCTTGCATTAGGAAGCAAGTTAGCCATAAAAGCCAAGCTTTCCATTGACATATCATGGGTTACTATTATAGTGCCTTCAATTTCTGCTGTTTCTCAGATGAGGACTTGTATCTGGAGCCTTGATTAATCCTGACAGGCTGCCCCAMAGAGCAGGGAGGAGGCTTCCCTGAACCCAACGGCAGGCACCAGTTCACCTGAAGACCTGCTAGGCTTTGTTCTTGAACAGGAGATGGAAAGCTCTACAGAAGCCATATCCAGGTCAAGCACACCTCTTGCTTCACTGTGCCAAGAGCTGGGGCACTTTCAAAGGAACAGGCTTCTTCCCACTGATACTGAGATTCTTGCCAACGCATTTAACATGAACACCTCCAGTTACAATGAGCAGCCACATGGATGGCCCATAAAACTCCATTGCTGTGTACAGCTGCATCACTGGATAAAAGTGATAAAAGAGATGGTCACATCAGTGGCAAGGTATCTGCACCCCAGGCAAATTCAAATTACACTGAAAACCTGAGTTTGTCCACCCCTGGTAACTGTGGGGAGTAAACAGATAAGCACRCAGCTTCCTGGAGAGTGGCTCTTCAGCTCTTTAGTGAGTCACCTCTTGTAGGACTGAGGAAGCTGTGTCCACAACTCCAGAGGGTGTGGAGATTTCGGGCAGGCCTAGGGACTCTCAGGGTACAGCATTAACAGAGTTAGTCCACMAGGCTAAGGGGCAATTTACTTTTGTTCAGCAAGGCTGAGAAGGAAGGACCTGATACTTTTTCCTTAGCATACAAACTACTCTGCAATCTTACAGGTGACATTTCTTGTGCTGGGGTGGGGTCCACTACGCTGCAGATGTGGACTAGCAGAGCTGCTATTTCAAGCTGCTGCAAGAGCCCATTTCACCCAGGAAGCCGGCACCACTAGTCAAAGTCATTTGCAGGCAGGAGGCCCCATTTCTGATGCACAGGAGTCAAGGTCAGCTCACAGGGCACCCAGTGGAGGAGCCAGACTAGCCCAGTTTGAGGTCTTGCACTCRGCAGCTTCACTTTTTGAAAAGGGCACAGCAAGTTCTGTAGGTTATGCCTCATGTTTTGTGCTGGCAGCAGGCACTTCTGCAGCTGGGTACCTCAAGCATCACTGATTCATTTGGTCAGTCCAAAGACAACCTTTTAGGCCCATGACCACTGGCTGAAGCCACTCAGGCTCTGGGCAGGTATCATTAGAGGCCTGAGGTAGCTGGTGCTCAACTTAACTGCTTCTCTGAAGGTCCTTAGTAAGGGTTAGTTCCTGCAGACCCTSCAGTTTCAAACATCTCAGGGTGAGATAGAAACCTTACCCAACACCCYAGAAGGCAGCCCCAGGACAAGCAGCAGCATCAATCACTTGAGCCAGATTCTAYAGAGCCAATGGTCAAGACTGTTTTTATTTTAATGCTGAGTCTGGATTCCAGCTGTTCCAAGCACTTTTATTTACTGAGTAGAAGGGAGGTCCTTAATTTGATGTCTTCCCTTATCTAAGCTGTAGAAATACAATTTACTTCTCTTACAATACTTCTCTCATGTCCAATATGTCCAGTATTTTTCTTGCTTGCAGTAAAATCTGGTTCATGCCAGTCTTCCTGCTTCAGAGTTTGGCAGTTCCAAGCTCTGATCAACCAACTTTCCTATGAAACTACTCCTGCTCATAGAACACCTTCCAAGTCTTCTCTAATGATCCTGGAACACAAGATGGCATTTTCATTTGCACTTTACTCTGAACTTCATTTCCTTCCCCTTCCCTCCCCCCCCCACCTTAAAGTTATAGCTAAGGAATAGGCTTCTCTTTAGATAAGGTCTGTAAGTCTTCATGGAAGCCAGCAGCTCCCTTATCCCAGACAAGACCCAAGGAATAGCAACATTTCAGAAAGCACAGACATGATTTGCCTGCAAATGTACGAATTGTTTTCAAAAGTATATTCAAAAARTCAGACTGTCTGGAGTTCAGTCCATGCATCAAACTAGATGTTCCAAGTCAAGAAGTTCACCATGCAGGTCACTCAACAGCTAACCAGCTGCTTCACAATCTGTGGCCTTATTTAACAGCACACACACACACACAAAAAAAACCCCAGCATTTTCTTACTAGCTCTGCAGCAAGTCAGTAAAGTCAGTGGAGCAGAGAACTAGCCTTAAAACTGGCTAGGGCTCTTCATTAGGCAGTTTCCAGATGCTTGATGCTGTAGCAGTATCAAATGCACTCAACGTCACGCATCCCCCACACAAGGTTTATTCAAAGGAAACACCAAAACGCAAGGACAAGCCTGCAACACTTGCTGCTTTCCTAGGAAAAGAATCTTCTAGCATCAAGCTAGACAGCTTTGCCCAAAACTCTGCTTTTCCACTTGGGGCACACAGGAGTCACACGGAAATCCCTGCATAATTTGATCACTCAACAGCATCTGACCTTGTGCCAGCAGCGGGTTTTACACAGGGGAAATAAAGGAACCTTCGCTACCCGAGCGGGTTGTAACCACCAATGGAGCAAGCAGGTCTGCAGGCAGCCAAGGTCACAGGAGCCCGCTGCCGTCTCCAGCTGCCATCGGCACAGCCCAACCACAACAAGTTTCACTGTCTGTTTACTATCAGCAGCTCATGTTCCGASACCAAACAAAACTGCATGAAGTCGCCTGTTTTCACATCAAACTAGCCTGGACAGTGCAGAACCTGAACACGTTTACTGGAAACAGGTCTCAAATACCAGCTCTGCACGAATCTGTTCTTTAGATACAGCATGAGTCAGACATGACTACTGCACCAGTTAACACTGATCCGGGGCATTTTTTGGTAGCTTTACACAGCTTAGAGGCTGCCTAAGCCCCTTGATTCTAAATCAGCTTGCTTTAACAATTAAYGTTCAATTAACCTCAGAACACGCTGCAGTGCTGCTTCCCAATTCCAAAAGCTGAACRGTGTTGCATTAGCTTATCCTGTATGACACCTCTGCAGAGCTGCCTTCAACATCTTGAGATATTTCATTAGACACACAGCTCAGTAACAGTCAGAATTAAAAAAAATCAACTCAAAATATCATTATCTAACTCTATTTAGACTCAGTCAAGTGACCACACTCCATCATGTGCTAGGGCCCTAAGACTCTAGCCTGGAGCACCAGACCTGCTGGCGCTACCACCACCTGCCACCAAGAGCCCACATCAAGGACCAGCCACATCCACAGTGCTGTGGAGTTACTGAGTCTTCGGTGCCACGTGTCAGCAATCACCCATTTCAAGCTACCCAATGCAAAGTCTCCTTCCCTAATTYGCAGTTCTGCAACACAATGAAATCCCCAGTTTCTAGGAAACACTTTATTCCACTTTACAGATGCTTAGAGGTCTTACTAAAGGTCAACACAACCTTGTATCTCTGACCACGAGCCTGTACTASAACAACTTAGAAATAAAGAGTTTTTAAAAAACAATTCTATTCCTTTGCTCCCAACTTCTTGGACAAATAACCAAAGTACAGCTTGCTTAAAGCTCAGTGTTTAAGGCATTAACCATTGTATTGCAAGAGCCTAGGATCCACCAATCCAAATTCCTTATGTTTCCCCAAACTGCCAATAGGTCTTTCCTATTCCTCCTTTGTCATTGCTGACCAAATGGCTGGAAGTCAGCGTAGAATGGAGTGGCTTCCACAGCTTTGCTGACATTCTCTCTCCAAGAAGCTCCTGACTTGCTCATCCTGAGGCCTGGGGTTCAAGGCAGGTGGCCCCAACCGCCCTTAGGGCAGAATGACCACATGGCACGAACAAAGCAGGAGGCAACACAGAAGTGGGGCCCTCCCTGCCTGAAGGGGAAGCCACAAATGCACCTGGCACAGAACAGCTCGAGCCCTTTGCCAGCACCAACAGAGCTCCACGGCTCCCTTTCAGCTGCTGTTTTAAATACAGCCTATAATTCATACAGCTCAATCTGAAATACTCMTCCAGCAAGAGCAGCTCCCACAATCTCACCATTAGAGCCCCRGCACATTGACAGCCATGTGCAACTCAAGCTATAACCGCATCAGCATCTTGGTGATTTGGGTCCCTACTTGGGAATTCAAAAAAGGTCCAAGGCGAACAGACAACACGCCAGGTATGTGCATGCACTTAAATATACAGGCTGACTGGTGATACTTGGTGCAGCTCTCACTTGAAGACACCAGAAGCACATCTGTCTCCTTTAATAGCACTAAGCTGTCTAAAGCTGGCTTCACTCCTGCAAATAATTGCCACATTTAAGCTTCAATATCAGCAGAAAGTGGCCGTGCACACGCGAAGACCAACAGCATTCCTGTCCAAAATTCCTGCCCTATTTACAGCCGAGGAGGAGGGGGGGCGAGCTACACCCAGCCCGGGGGGGGCAGCACCGGATCCTCCCGGCACGGCGGAACCGCAGGGCACGGCGGAACCGCAGGGCAGGGCGTCGCAGGCACCAGCGGCGCAGTCGGCGACAGCGACGAGGGGCGC